GCTTAGACTGTGCAGTCCAACCCTAGCCAATAGGGGAATGACTCAGCAGTAGGGGCTACCTGTGTTAGGGATAAGAACCCCTTCCCCTCCTTTGTTCAGGTGTGCTCCTGCCATTGCTGCATTCATGAGACACACCTTTCTATAGAAGTAATAATTGTCTTGCTGAGAAAATTTATGTTCAAGTGCTTTTCTTTTGTGGCACACATGTTAGAAAATTTGCTTCTAATTCATATAAGCAGTTTGGCTTACTGTAGAAAAGCAATCAAAATAATATTAAAGTACTTTTCATTAAACACATATTACATCTGTGCATTTGTGTGCGTATACATATGTCTATATTAGTGACCATCTTTTTCTTATATGTTAGAAATGTGACTCTATTAGTCTGGCTGAAGTTCCTCTACTCCAGGCAGAGAATGTCCAGGGAGTTCCAAACACTTTCCAACTGGTATAGGAGCTGGAAGAATTGTGAGAAGGAAGTGGTTCTCCTTTAGGGTTCAGCTAGGTTACAGCTATTTGATGGAATTAGGGGAACCTCAGATGAGGCTGGATTAGAGAATGAGAGGAGTAGCAGAGGCCATGGACTGCAAGGCTAGAAAGCCAAGTGTTAACAGTGGAAGTTATGTGAGTTCCTAGAGGTGAATCTGTGCAAGTCTACAGCAAGTTCAATTCTTGTTTTCTTAGTAGAAAGAATTTTACTGAAGGGTGTAAGGCAGAAAAAGAGACCGAGGCAAGTTTCAGAGCAGGAGAAAGGGTTTCTTAAAAAGCTTTAGAGCAGGGATGAAAGAGAGGAAAGTACACTTGGAAGAGGCCCAGGAAGGCGACTTGAAGGACAAGTGCCCCATTCGACCTTGGACCTAGGATTTTCTATGCTGGTCGACTACTGGGTCTTGCACCCCTTTCCTTTGATTCTTCCCTTAGGGTGAGCTGCCCGCATGTGCAGTGGCCTACTAGTCCCTGGGTGGCAGGTGTACACAGTGTGTGTACTGGAGTTGTAAACATGCTCACCTGAGGTGTTCTCCCCTTTTCTGGTGGAATGTCCGTGGAAAGTCATACTGAAGCAGGAGCGGCCATGAGAAACAGACCTCTTGGATGCCAAACTAGGAAGGAAGAGGTGATTTATTTCGGCTGGGAGCAAGGCAACATATTTTTCTAACAGTCAAGCTCGTCTAACAAAGAGAAGCTCTGCCTTTATATAGGCTTACAACTCTAGACATTACATGTGAAAGGGTCTTGGGTTTACAGATTTAGAAATTACATGTGAAAGGGTCTTAGGTTTACAGTTTTAGAAATTATATGTGAAAGGGTCCTGGTCAACGGAAGAGGAGTGGAGTGGGAGTTTGATCTTGTTTATGTAAAAACAATGCCTCTGGAGAGATTCCCCCATACTATGCCTGCCATCTATAGGGAGGTGGCTAAGGAGGTGCCAGTCGGCCAGCCTTTTCTTCTATTGAAATGCAGTGTGGCAGTCAAGGGGGAGGTGATCTTAGGTACTTGGGTCTCTTTCCTCAATACTTCACCATTTTTACTCTAAATGTGCGCACTTGAGCCCACTCACTCAATTCCTGGGATCTTATTGAAAGCTGCTGTTGACCAATTTCAGGTGTTACTATCTGTGGGGAAATTGCTTCACTCTGGTGCTGGCTGCGACCTACTGTTATTTTAGAGAGGCAGTGTGACAGCTGCTTGACCATCACCTGACTTTCCTGGTGGGGTGTGGGGGAGCCCTTTCCTGCCCTGCTCATGCCTGACCTACTGTAACACAAGCCCGGTAGAGACGGTCAGAGGTTGGAGGGGACAGATGACAGGTCCAGAGTGTGAGAATTGGGCGATTTGCATCTTTTTCACCTTTCAGATGCTTGAGAACTCAGGAGAGGAGAAATCAATGATGATACCAGTACCTCAGATCTACTAGGAATCTCTTGTGTAAAACTTGGTCATGAGAGGCACAAGTTGAGGCAGCAACTGAGGCTGATGGATTGGGAGATGTGAAAGGCAAATATTCTGGGCTGCCAAAATCACTAAACTAAAAGGAAAATTTAGTCTGGGAACTGCATAGGGCAAACCTGCCTCCTATCCTGTTCAGTCATCCCTCTGCTTATTGAGATAAATGCATATCGGATTGCCTCCTTTGGGAAGACTAATAGAAACTCAAAAGAATGCAACAGTTTGTCTCTCACCTACCTGTGACTTGGAAGCCGCTTAGAGTCGTCCCACCCTCCTGGACTAAACTAATGTTCATCTTACATACGTGGATTGATGACTCATGTCTCCCTAAAGTGTATAAAATCAACTTGTGCTCTGACCACCTTGGGCACATACCTTAGGACCTGCTTGAGGCCGTGTCACGGGTGCATGTCCTCAGCCTTTGCAAAATAAACTTGATAAATTAGCTGAGACTCAAATTTGGGGACTTCACAGAGAGTTCTGCCGTACTTCAGACCAACTTCAGGCCACAGGGCTGCTGCGAATTCCACCAGCCCCACCCCCACCAAGGCCTCCAAGAGGAAATAATGTGGGAGGAAATTAATGGAAAGGACTGGAGTTTTGGCATGATGGATCTAGGGGATAGAGCACTGAGACTTAGGGGTAAGCTAACCGTAAGAATATTTATACTCACCAGCTGGTAAAGACTGGGATAAGTGGGTAATTTATCACATTAACACATGCTGTCCATGTACCGAGCATCAGGGAAGGTGCTTTAAGTACGTTATCTCTTTTATGTGAGGTAGGGTTTATCTTTCCGATGAATGAGAAAACTAAACCTAGGCTCAGAGTAGTTAAATGCATTGCCCCAAATCATGTATCCGGTAAGAGTTAGGGGTGGATCTGATTCCAGTTTGAGAGTGACAAATCTTAATCATGTGACCACCAGGGAGTGAAAATTCCGGTTTTACTTTGGCTCCATGACTGAGGCTCTGGTCAAACTGTAAGTCTAGTACTGAAGAGCTGGGCCCATGCATGAGTCATTCATTCAGTCTTGCTTCCACAGCATCTAGTACTGGCCTCAAATGGACATGTGACAAGCAACTCTTGAATTGACTTGGCCACATTAAAAACAGCATCTGAGTAGTTAAGGAGTGGCCAATAGGATGCAGTCTGTAGGAAGTTTGCAGAAAGGGCATCTTCTCCTGGCAGGCCATCAATAGGGTGGGGAATGCAGGCAGAGTGCCCTCTGTGGGTTGACCTGTACATCTATAATTAATGATAGTCTCTTTTTGCCCTATCTGTAGCTGCATATGATTCTTGGAAGGCTCATCTGCAAACAGCACCTCAAAAATACAGCCGAGCAGGGGAGCTCACCCCTGTAATCCCAGTACTTTGGGAGGCTGAGGTGGGTGGATCACCTGAAATCAGGAGTTCGAGACCAACCTGGCCAACATCTCTACTAAAAATACAAAAATTAGGCAGATGTGGGGTACATGCCTGTAATCCCAGCTATTCAGGAGGCTGAGGCAGGAGAACCACTTGAATCTGGGAGATGGAGGTTACAGTGAGCTGAGATAGTGCCACTGCACTCCAGCCTGGGCGGCAGAATGAGACTCTGTCTCAAAAAAATAATAAAATAAAATAAATGGATAAACTTCATATTATTCTTAAAGTTGATGATGAAATAAATCATAGGTCTGGGGAGTGCGTAAGCTTGAAAGTTGAAGAGTTCTAAAGTCATAACTTCCTCTTGGGAGGATAAAAGCTGTGGTTCTTTTGTTGCAATAATGACAGACTTTCAGAGTCTGTCTGTTTGCCTGACTCCCATTCACTGAATAAATGCTGGTAATTGCTAATTGCTTTGAGAAGAAAACTGACTCATAGCTTGAGAGTGACTTGCATATCAATGTTTCAGGCCCTCTGTGTTGCCTTTCTCAAGAGGGCAGGGGAACTGGAGAGGGCAAGGTTGCTTCCTCAAGGGCTTTTGGCCTAGACTGATTCAAGTGTGAGTTTTTTCTTTTTTCCCCAAGAGATAACATCACCGAGAAATTTAAACTGTGGTCCAGGGGAACTAATGTTTCTTTTTTCTGGTCATCTTGGTCTGCAGGTCATGTCTTCCATTTCATACATAGTGGAGAAGACAAAAAGCATTTGATCAAATTTCTAGCAAACTAGCTGTTAGGGGCTGATTTAAGTGGCTGCCCCTACCCACCAGGGCCCTTAAGTGTCTTTCACTCTGATTGCTCCTCCAAAAATATTTTAGCCAATCACTGATTGATGGCTGTGTGTTAAGCCCAGCTGCGGCTGTAGTAATGGACTTTCTGTTTTTAAGGATAGCTATAAACTAAGAAGGTGTCTCTGGGCCCCACAGGTCAAGGGTCTTTTCTGAGATGCTGCAGACATGAGATCCTCAAAGCACTGTTTTTGTTGATTGCTTCATCCCTGGGGCAGGGGAGCTGTTTTGCTTCAGCTTATTCTGGTTTTCTTATATTCTGGTTTTCTTATTTTCTGGTTTACGATGTGCTCCAGGTTGAAAGAAATTTTAAAGTCAAGAGATTTTTAAGGGGAGAATTCCAAGAGTTTTCAAAAGGGAAACCATTTTAAGACACTCCAAAAGAGGACTATAACCCTCCTCTTGACCTCTCCAATGTTTGGTACACGTCTCATCCCCTTCCCATCTTGTCTACCAGATTCTGATAGCAGCAACACAAGTCAGGAATCATCCATTCCAGGAGGCCTCCCTTTGCAGCCTCTCAGTGGGGCCTCCTTACCCGCTGCCTCGACAGAGTTGATTTCTCTGGACTGGGGAATTGCAATAGGGAAAGAGTAAGTCAAGCAGAGCTGGCTGAGTGGGAAACCAGAGTTTTATTATTATTATTATTTTAATATGGCATCTCTGTTTGTTGCCCAGGCTGGAGTGCAGTGGTGCAATCTTGGTTCACTGCAAACTCTGCCTCCTGGGTTCAAGCAATTCTCCTGCCTCAGCCTCCCAAGTACAGCTAGTGCTCGACTTACGACCATGATCAGGACCGCAGACCGGTCGTAACACAATTTGGTCGTAAGTTGAGTAGGCTATATGTACAGTTGAAGTGGTGCACGCGGAGATGGTAGTGCTGCCGGAAGCTGGTCCGCACTGTCGTACACCCAGCCGGGCAACGTTTGCGCTGCCAGATGCGGAGCAGTCGTGGCTAACGATTGTAATCGTAAAGTCGAATGGTCGTAAGTTGCATAGGTGGTAAGTCGATCGATACCTGTAGCTGGGACTACAGATGCATGCCACCATGCCTGACTAATTTTTGTATTTTTAGTAGAGATGGGGTTTTACCATATTGGCCAGGTTGGTCTTGAACTCCTGACCTCATGATCTGCTCACCTCGACCTCCCAAAGTGCTGGGATTACAGGTGTGAGCCACTGTGCCTGGCTGAGATTTTATTATTACTCAAATTAGTCTCCCCAAACATTTGATGTTATATGTAAATTTTTGGTGCTGCAAAAGAAATAGCACGTGAATATAAATTTCCTCAGCAATGCACTTTACTTCTATAGAAGGGTGCAACTCACAGATGGAACAAGGGTGAGCACACACCAGGACAAAGGAGGGGAAGGGGTTCTTATTTCTGATGGAGGTAGCGCCTACTGCTGTGTTTTTCCCCTATTGGCTAAGGTTAGGCTGCACAGTCAAAGCTAATTTCAACTGACTGTTTTAGAGACAGCAGGGGCACAAGCTAGAGTGGCAGGGTGGGTAGCTTGGAAGGAAGGATGGTTATGGAACAGGTCAGAGCAAGTAACCAGGGGTCAAAGCAGGTGACTGGAGCAGGTGTCTGGGATGAGTCAGGATGGAGTAAGGGACGGGGGGAACAGATATGAAGTACTGATTAGAACTGGTGACAAAGGTTGTTTACTGAAACTACAAGGAAATTAAACTTTAAAATGGAGAATTAAAGAGTAAGAGAGCTGAGCATACTGACATACTGATTCTTTGAAGAGAAACTTGGAGTTCACTATATCTGACATTTGGGGATCAAAGTTTTTAAAGACAATTTGGTGAGAGGGGAGGGGCAGTGAATCAGGGAGTGTGTGCTGATTGGTTGGGTCAGAGGTGAAATCCTATGGTGTCCCAGTCTTCTTGTGCTGAGTCAATTCTGGGTAGGGTCACAAGATCAGATCGGCTGGTTTCTCATCTCAGTAGTGTCGATGGAGCCATCAAGTGTAGAGTCTGCAAAACATCTCAAGCATTCATCTTAGAAGCAGTTTAGGGAGGGTCAGAATCTTGTAGCCTCCAGTTATGTGACTCCTAAACTATAATTTCTAATCTTGTGGCTAATGTTAGTAGTCTAGTTCCCAGGCAAAAAGAAGGTTTGTTTTGGGAAAGGGCTGTTATCGTCTTTGTGACCTCTCAATGGGTTCTGCCTAGACTTTTGAACAAAGTCCTGAGGACCAGGTCCCACCTCCAGACACTTGCCTCACATAATTCATCTGGAGCATGTTCCAGATATTGGTATTTTTTATTTTAAAGCAATCAGGTAATTCAACTGAATAGCTGGGCTGAGAATAACCTTTGTATGAAGGCATTCTAAAACATTAGCATTAAAATATTTAACTGTTAAAAAACTTGCTCATGCAAATTCTTCTTCTTGAAATGTCCCTCTTATCCTATCTATTGATTTTGGTTTCATCCTTACTTCTATTTTACCTGTGAAGTTTTCCAGACTGATTGTGGCTGAGACGGTGTTTCTTTCTGAATTTTCATGGTATATGTTTTAAACTATAAATTCTAAACTAAGTTCCTCCCAAAGTTAGTTCAGCCTATGCCCAGGAATGAGCAGGACAGCTTGGAGGTTAGAGGAAAGATGGAGTCATTTAAGTTGGACGTTTTTCACTGTCTCAGTCATAATTTTGCAAAGGCAGTTTCACCTTGACATGCTCCTCCTGGCACACACACAGGCAGAGGTCCTTGTTCCTTCCATATGCTAAACCCAGAAATCTGGCACATGATCCTCACCAGGAGGACTTCAAACAAAGTCCTGAGGACCAGGTCCCAGCTCCAGACACTTGCCTGATGTCATTCATCTGGAGCAGGTTCCAGACATTGATTGTTTTTATTTTAAAGCAATTAGGTGATTCAATTGATTAGCTGGGCTGAGAATAACCTCTGTGTGAAGGCATTCTAAAATATTAGCAATGAAATATTTAACTGTTAAAAAACTACATGACTTTTTTTTTTTCTAAAAGCTTTCTGCATACAGTCTAATTTAATTCTCATGTCAATGATTAGAGATTTTGCAGTGGCAGAAACAGGCTCAGAGAGGTTAAGAATATGCTAGTAAGTAGAACGGGTTACACCTGGTCAGTGTGACTTGAAAGCTCAGAATTTTAATTGCTAAGATAGATGCTGGCCTGATTTTCTTTGTTTTCTGCTTGGCTCAGAACTACTTGAAGGGGAAGACTATTTTTTTTTTTCATATCTCTATTTCCATTGCTTAGCATTATGCCCCATGTTAGCTGGAAACAAATGAATACTGAATATTTTTCATGAATGTGAGGGCTGTTCAACAGAGAGTTGGGTCTTAGCCCTGAATTCTGGGTCTTCAGGGTTATCATTGTGTCTGGCTCATGCAAATTCTTCTTCCTTCTTATCCTGTCCATTGATTTCGATTTCATACTCACTTCTATTTTACCTGTGAATTTTCCAGGCTAATTGTGGCTGAAATGGTGTTTCTTTCTGATCTCTCATGGTATATAAAACATATAGTATTTGACCTAGGACTGAATCTGTACCATTCTCTTGCTGTATGTGTAAAGACTGTACACTTTCATTTTGATCTTTAACATAATTGGAGTAAGATTATAAATATCACCAGAATCTTCTCTTTTGAATTTCTTAAAACTTCCAATGTGGCCCTGATATAGAGTCCTTATGAATGGATTTCTGTTTATCTGTTAACTTTATTCTGTTAAATAAATTTAATAATTTATTGAATTATAGAAAAATGTTTCTAACTTTGGAAATAAAATTATTAGCATCTATAACTGAGTACATAAAGGTTTATTTATTTAGTAATATAAAATAAGTTAGCCTTGCACAAGCATGCCACAGAAAGCAAGTATATTCAGAGGTTACAGATACGTTTTAAAATAATAAATATACTCCTATCTTTTCCTTTCTCTTTATCTCTGTACATAGATGTAATATTCTCTTTACCATAAGCCTACTTTTCCAATCATGGGCTTGTATTTCATAGACATTACACCTTTATGCATGGGGAATAATTTTGGAAGGAGGTAGTGTAATGTGAAGGTTAAAAGTGTAGTTTTGACATAATATATTAGACGGGCTACTGTTGGTAATGTGATCTCTCAGGCTCGGTTTCTTAATCTGTGAAATGGGATATTAGTATTACTGTCTAAGGTTCTGGTGAAGATTAAATGAGACATTAAATATCTTAATGGAATGGCCATAATTTGCACTTGATGAGTGTTCAGAATATCATTATTAAAATTTTATTATCATTAAAAGGTTTAAAATGTGAGCTCCTTTCAAAGGCACTTTATATCTCCAAATAGCAGAAGGAATGTTTTTGGACAAGTCGGTGTGGGCAGCCACCTATTGCTCTGCTTGCCTCCTTTGTCACCCTTCCTTTGCAAGTCACATGTTGGCATCCCTTTGAACCCCAGCTGCATCCACATCATATGTGTAGTTCATAGAAAGCGGCTGCCCGTTTTCACCACTCGCCCCTGTATTTGAACTAAAGGAGATGCATATTTTTGTTGTACCTGCATTTCAGACTGTTTTGGGCACCGTCTATGGGGATGATGGGCCAGTGCAGGATGAGGGCTCAGGAACCAAGCTGAGGGGCTGAGGGATTAGGTGGAACATCAGATCCCCCTGGCCATTCTAGAGAGGGACCCTCAGGTGGGTATGAGAGATTTAGATAAGTTCAGTCTACTGAATCACTTAGATATATCTGATATCTCTTTCCAGATGATTCAGCTGAAATGGACACCATTGTTTTACAAGAAGGGTCAGGGACAGACTAATATCATACACACATCCTCGTAGGAGTTTCTCTTATTTCTTCTCCTCTCCATTCACTTTTGGCAGAGTGTACTTCATATTAAATATTTAGCTTTGGAATGAAGCCATGGTGCAGTCATGGAGGGGAGGGGCAGGAGAGTGGTTTGGAAAGATGGGGAAGTGGAAGCCATGGAAAACAGAGCTAGTGACAGGCTGTGGCACAGGTAGGGGTTTGCCTGTGATTCAGCCATTTCCATGTGATCACCCAGGCCTCTCTGGGATATGATGTCTCAGCCTTACCAGAGTCACAAACAATTCACGCCTTTATAGTTCTAAACACCCAAGAGAGTTATTCCCCTAGTGATTCTGTATGTAAGTAAAAATGGTGAAAATACTCAACACAGGTAAAGCCCAACAAGGTTTTGAGTTTAATATTCCCGATGATACTTCTTTAGGGACTATTAAATATGAAATTCTTCAATTCTTTTCTCTCTATCTTAATGTTTTGGGTATACTTTCCTTTCAGAAAACACATGTCTAGTTTCATTGGGAAATTAGCAGCTTTGGCACTGCTGGGAGAACCAGGCTATACTAGGAAAATGCTGAATGGTGCCCACAGGTACTGCCTTCATTCCTTGCAGGACTTCATGTCTCCATGCCAAGGCCAAGAGGTTCTATATGCCTAAATATGAGGCTCAGGTAGCTCAGAAAAGCTGGACACCATGGCTGGACCAAGCCTTTTGTTGCCTTTTCAAGTTGGCCATTGAGCCTGCCACTAGGAAGAAGATAGAGTTAAAAAACTAAGTCTCCCCCTCGATCTGGACAAACATTAAGCTATGGTGTGGTTGACAGATTATCAATATTCTTTGTTTATTTTTTTTTTTTTTGAGATGGAGGCTCACTCTGTCACCCAGGCTGGAGTGCAGTGGTGTGATCTCAGCTCACTGCAACTTTTGCCTCCCCGGTTCAAGTGATTCTCCTGCCTCAGCATCCCGAGTGGCTGAGATTATAGGTGCCTGCCACCATGCCTGGCTAATTTTTGTATTTTTAGTAGAGATGGGGGTGTTGCCATGTTGGCCAGGATGGTCTTGAACTCCTGACATCAGGTGATCCATCCACTTTGGCCTCCCAAAGTGCTGGGATTATAGGTGTGAGCCACTGCATCTGGCCAAACATCAATATTCTTTACGGTGGGTGCATAGACTTAATAAGGGAAGATATCTGTTCTCATATTCTGGCACCTCCAATGAATTCCACAGTACATATAGCAGAAAAGAAATAAAAAAAGCATTGTTAGAATGTGGATTATAGATTTGACTTAGTGAAATGATCCAAGTCTTTGTTGGCCGCCAGCTTGGCCCTGGGAAACCCATAGACTATGGGTGGGAATGAAAGAAGGGCTCTGAGATCTTCTCTTCCCAAAATGAAATCTAATTTAAATAGTTCCTGTCAGCTATTTTTGACAACTGGGTTAACTACTATTCTCATTTTCCCTTCTCAGATAGTGGTTTTCTTTGACTCTTGTCCTAAAAAAAAAATGCATGTGAGATTTTAAATTAGCTGCTCAGCTAGCCAGTTTCTGGAGGAGAACTATCTGCACTTTTGCAGGCTGGCCTGATCGCTCCTTCTATCTGGGTCAAAAGTTTGAGGCTGAGGAGTCTGAGTCCTGGTTGAATACCTTTTCACGAGTTGCTGTTTTGTTGTGTTTTATTGTACACACTGTGGCTTCTGGATGTATTATGTCTCTAGCACTGTCAGTGCTGAGTGGGTTCCCTACCACAGCCTGGGGATTAGAGGGAGGGCAAAGGGTGATGTGAGGCGCAGGTTGGGTGATTCAGGCACAGCTTCAGTGCCAGAGCCATCGTATCTGCTGGTCTTTTCCTGCACATCTCAAAGAATTACAAGTCTTCTCTACAGACATAAACCACTTCAGAGAGGGCACTCTTCTGCCTCTCAAACTGAAGCTTAGATTGAATGTTGATGCATCATAAAGAAGTGTCTGATTGGCTGTGTTTACTCTATTCCATGGTGAGGTCCCTCTCCCGCAACCCTAGGCATGAAACAACTTCTCTGCTTTAGGGTTCCAGAAGGAATAACTCATCTCCCAGAGACTGGGTATGAACATAACTATATTTAGAGTAGATATCTGGGAGTTTAGGTGATGGGAATTAGGCATGGATGTTGCCTCCTGGCGATCTTTCAGAAAGACAAATCTAACGTCTGATTTCTGTGCTTAGAGATTACTGATGGTTCCTCACTATACAGTGAATAAAGTACATATTCCTTAAATGACAGCCAAAGTTTTAAAAAATAAGCCTTCAGCCAAACTTAAAGCTTCTTCCATTGCTCAGCTTTCAAACTCTATGTCCCAGTCAACCAAACTAGAGGCCATTTCCAGCAGACAACACTTTATCTTCATCAAAATCCCTTTGGCCTTTTCTGTGAAATGAGCAAGCTAGTTCTAAAATTTATATGGAAATGGAAAGAGTCAAGAATAGCAAAGTCAGCCTTGAGAATGAAGAACTTGGAGAACTTAGGCTGCTAAATAATCAAGACTCACTGTAAACTCACAGTATCCAAAGCAAAATGGGCAGATCAAGGGGATAGATTAAACAGTTAGAAGCAGACCCACACACAGTGGGTTGCCTGAATTCTGGCACAGGTGCATGATAATGAACTTGGGACAAAAGTCTTTTCAATAAAAAGTATTGGGTCAATTGAATGTCCATATGGAAACAGAGGGCACTGTGCCTACTTTAGAAACAATTTTCATACGGATTATAGATTGTGAAAGGTAAAAGCTACTAGAAGAAAACATAGGAGAATATCTTCTTTATTTTGTAGTAGGCAAAAATGTCCTTAAATAGGGCATAAAAACCACTATCATTGAAAATTAGACCATATTAAAATCCAGAACTTTCATTCATCCAAATAAGACTTTAAAAGACTAAAAATTGAAGCCATAGAGTAGGAAAAGATACTTGCAATATGTGCAGTCATGTACCACGCAGCAAAGTTTCGACCAGTGATAGACCACTTATGACTGTGGTCCCATAAGATTCTAATACCATTTTTTCATTTCCACCTACATTTTATTATCATCTTTAATTTATTGCATACAAGCAAGAAAATTATTTCCTTAATAAGTGAGAATTATTGTGCAAGTATTAAATGTTACTTTTGGAAAAGTATTATAATTATTATAACCTTAGTTTAAAAATTTTATTTTATTTCAATAGTCTTTTGGTAACAGGTAGTTTTTGGTTACATAAATAAGTTAAATATTTTATTTTATTTTAATAGTTTTGGGGGAGCAGATGGTTTTTGGTTACATGAATAAATTATGTAGTGGTGATTTCTAAGATTTTGATGCACCTGTCACCTGAGCAGTGTCACTGTCCCCAATATGTAGTCCTTTACCTTCACTCCTTCATACCCCTTCCCCAAGTCCCCAAAGTCCATTACATCATTGTCATGCCTTTGTATCCTCATAGCTTAGCTCCTACTTATAAGTAAGAACATAAGATGTATTGTTTTCCATTCCTGAGTTAATTCACTTAGAATAATGGCTTCCAACTCCACTCAGGTGGCTGCAAAGGCCATCATTTCATTCCATTTTATGGCTCAGTAGTATTCCATGGTATATGTGTGCTATATTTTTTAAATCTACTTGTTGGTTGATGGGCATTTAGATTGGTTCTATATTTTTGCAACTGTGAATTGTGCTGCTATAAACATATGCATGCAGGTGTCTTTTTCATATAATGACATCTTTTTCTTTGGGTAGATACCCAGTAGTGGGATTGCTGGATTGAATGGTGTTTCTACTTTTAGTTCTTTAAGAAATCTCCATACTGTTTTCCTTAGTGGTTGTGCTAGTTTACATTCTTATCAGCAGCGTAAAAGACTTCGCTTTATACCACATCTATACCAACATCTAGTATTTTTTTATTTTTAAATTATGGCCATTCTTGTAGGAGTAAGGTGGTATCTCACTGTGGTTTTAATTTGCAGTTCCCTGATTATTAGTGGTGGTGAGCATTTTTTCATATGTTTGTTGACTGTTTGTATAGCTTCTTTTAAGTAAACAGATGACCCACATAATGGGAGAAGATGTTTGCAAACTATGCATCCAGAATCTACAAAGAACTCAAACAAATCAGCAAGAAAAAACAAATCATCCTGTCAAAAATTGGGCAAAGGACATGAATAAGCCATTCTAACATTTTTACTGTACTTTTTCTATGTTTAGATATATCATTGTATTGCAGTTGCCTACAGAACTATGTGGTACAGTTTTGTGACCTAGGAGTAATAAGCTATACAATATAGCCTAGGTATGAAATGGGCCTACTATCTTGGTTTGTAGAAGTACACTCTGTGATGTTCACATAATAATGAAATCACTTAATGTATTTCTCAGAACATGCCTGTTGTTACGTGATGCATGACTGTGTATCCAATTAAAGACTTATATCCATAAAGTAGAAAGAACTAAAAGTCAATGGAACATAATATACAACTCAATAAAGAGCAAGTAAAAAGTTTATAAAGCAATATGTATGTAAAAGGTATAAATACATATTTATATTATTACTATATATTATTTATATTATTATACATAAGTAAAAATTATATATATATTTTTCTATTGCATTTTAGGTTTTGGGGTACATGTGAAGAACATGCAAAATTGTTGCATAGGTACACAAGTGGCAGTGTGATTTGCTGCCTTCCTCCCCTTCACCTATAACTGGCATTTCTCCCCATGCTATCTCTCCCCAACTCCCCATCCCCTGCTGTCCCTCCCCTACTTCCCCCCAACAATATATATATTTTTTGAGATATGGTCTCACTCTGTTGCCCATGGTGGAGTATGATGGCATTGATCACATCTCACTGCAGACTTGAACTCCTGGGCTCAATTGATTCTCCTGCCTCAGTCTCCTGAGTAGCTGGGACTATAGGTGCACCCTACCATGCCAGTCTAATTTTTTGTTTTTTATTTGTAGAGGTGACGATGCGGGGCAGAGTCTCACAATGTTTCCAGTGTGGTCTCAAAAGCCTGGTCTCCAGTGACTCTCCCACCTCAGCCTCCCAAAGTTTTGGGAGAATAGGCATGAGCCATTGTGCCCAGCCTAATGTCATATATTGATCAGGTAGAGGAACACTGGAAATTTCTCACACACTATTGGAAGGGGGATAAACTGGTAAAGTCACTTTAGAAAACCACTTGGTATTATTTGCTAAGGAATTCAATCTCTGGATATATACTTAAGACAAATGCATGCAAGTGTACCAGAAGATGTTACACACTAACAGCATGAACACCTGAGACTGGAGGTGACCCAAATGTCTATCTACTGATAGCAGAATTGGTGAATAAATTGTGGCATATTCACACAAAATATGAAGGCCCTTGAATGTCATGGGAAGGGATCAGACTTTAGTTGTTAGGTAATAGGACATCATTCAAAGCTTTTGAGCAGAAGGACAAGATAAAAACTGTGTGTCAGGAAATCACATCTGGTAATGCTATGAAGAGAGGAACTTTTCCTTTTTTGAGATGGAGTTTCGCACTGTCGCCCAGGCTGGAGTCCAGTGTTACGATCTCGGCTCACTGCAATCTCCGCCTCCTGGGTTCAAGCAATTCTTCTGCCTCAGCTTCCCAAGTAACTGGGAGTACAGGTGTGTGCCGCCACCCCTAGCTAATTTTTTTGTATTTTTAGTAGAGATGGGGTTTCACCATGTTGGCCCAGATGGTCTTGGTCTCCTGACCTCGTGATCTGCTCACCTTGGCCTCCCAAAGTGCTGGGATCTCAACCGTGAGCCACCATGCCTGGCCGGCCGAAGAGAGGAACTTTTTACCTATTGGGATGTGGATTTTTCTTTTCAAAAGGCCCTTGTAAGTAACTCTTTTCAATAGGCATTCTAAAGTTATGCAACGTTACTTTGAGATGGTTTTTTTTCCTACCAGAAAGTGTTTTCATGTTGACACGTTTCCACTTCAAAAAACTATACCTCACAACCCAGAGTATGCTCTGAATTTCACCTTATCAAACTCTTTGTTTCTTGCAAAGAATTTTCCTGCTGAAAACATCACGAGCAAATTAAAAAAAAGAAGTAGACTATCAGTGGATTTAGCTACCTATATTTTCAATGATAGAATTTACAGTGGGTATACATATTTTTCTCTGTATGGTTTGGTTAGAATTCTGGCTCAATAAGTCATGGTTGTCAAGGTTTAGAGTCATTTTGGCTCTAAAGATAGAAATAATTCATGAAGATAAAAAGTTCGCTTCTTTATTTTGAAGTATTTATTTAGTATCAGATTGTCTGTTAGTCTAATTTGTAGCCTATTTACCTACATTGCAGCATTTACTTAGGAAATATTATTTTAGTACAGGTCAGTTATGTGAGCATGAGAAAGACAAGGGAAAACTTAGATTTTTATCACTTTTAGGTTTTATTTGTCACATATAATTACACATTACATGCAAGAAACTCACAATACAGCCCAATATGTTTATGTATGCTGGTACATCAAAAATAATACAATGCAAAAATTTACATTTTGTACATACAACTATCTTAAACAGTCAAATAGGAGTAATGTAAAAATAATTTAGTGACTTGCTCACTGTTTGATACACTAGTTGACATTTTGATCTGCACATGAGACCATTATAATTTAGCAGGTAGTTCTTTTGCAAGCTACATCTGATCATCCTGTCCTACCTGGAAATATGCATAAAATATGAAATAATAGCTTTGTGTATACTGTAAATGAAGATATTTATTTTTCAGTAGTAAACAGACATTATGGTGGAACTTACACATGAATGAAGAAAAAAACCCAAAAAATTGAAGAAAAACTCCCAGACCATCAAAAGGAAAACAACGTTGTATTTTTAAAGCATTCATTTGTGTGCATTATTACAACAAACAATATATGTATTTGTCTCTATTCCCAGGCAAATGCTTTTGAAAAGCAGATGTGGGGAAAGTTCTTAAAAACACAGATAGAAAGCATGTTGTGCTCACTCTTACACTTGTGGATTTTATTCTGTGTTTTGAAAGGTGGTTATGTTTTTACTTACTTGGATGCAAAATCTGTAAAGCAGAGACTATTCTAGACTTTTTAATATTAATATGGTCAGTTGACATTTCTATTTCTATGTGTTGTTTAGGTACCAGGACTACTGTAAATTAAAATGTCACCCTGGCATAGAACCTCAATCCACGTGCAGAGTGGCAGGGGTCTAGCTTTTATTTCACTTCCAACACTGTCAAGGAAATGAATTAATTCTGCCCTTGTTTCAGACTCAGGAATACACGCAGCTAGAAGGGGGCCAATGGGTGGAAGGGTTGATTGCTTACGTTAGGTTTTACCTAAAGCTATAGAATAAAGAAGGAACAATTCAGTTGCCATTTGTATTGCTAGAGAGAAAAAGTAGTTTGTGGGCAGGAGTTTGTTTAAAATGTCTGAATTTAATACACCATGAGAGGATCTCATTTACTCAAACAGATTCTTTACAATATTTTGATTTTCTTTTCCCGCTGAAATATTATAGGTATCTTTTAAAACCAAGGGTTAATAGTTACCTGAATTTCAAACGCAATTTAAAACATGCAGGAATCTTTTCTTTTCTAGTGGAAATTATATTTGGATGGCAAAAATGTGTCATTAATGTTATAAAAAATTTAATGACAAGCGGCAGAGCACCTAATGTTTAGACTTACTTTTTCTATTTGCTACATTTGACAGAGTAGTTTTTCAATTTTTTAAAAATACATCTGCACTGGCAGGGTTTCTTTTCTTCATATAACATAACCAAATGAAAACAAGATCGCTCATTGTTTTACATTTTCAGAACTGGTTATTTAAGTGTGTAAAAAGTTCAGAAAATGTATTGCCAGGGGAAGAATGGTTTAGAGAAAACTGGCATTTTTTCTTTAATTCCCATTAAAATAATGGAAATGTATAGGCCAATATAAATCCCCATTTATATTGGTATATATATTTCCTTTATATGTTCTGTTTATATTGGTAGATATACTCCCATGTAATGGCATATATACTTTCATATAGCGGTATTAATACCATTATATGGATATACAGTTAGTATATAATGGGAATATATATATACTAGTATTTCTAACTTAATTCCTATTAAATTAATGGGGATTTATAGGCCAATATTCATATAGCTATGCTTAACACAGAAATTTTTATGGTTGGAGTATTAAATTATAAATGGTAGCATTAAATTTTATGGATTCAATATTTATGAAAATTCAAACATTTCCATGAAACTGATGGTTTGGGTAGAGATAAAATAATTTAAATTTCAAACTAAGATTTAAATAGAAAAAGTATAGTTGAAAGAAAATTCTAATTTTCATTTTAAGTTTGTGTTCAGAGTACAAATGTAAATAACAAGAGTGCGAGTAAATTATTGATGCTGGACCTTCAAATAAGGAGGTAAGCCTTTAGTAAATTTTATTTTAGTACTGATTGCATTTTATTTTGATTACAACTACCATATAATTCCCATGGATCCATTTCACTATGCTGCATGTGTGTGTGTGTGTGTGTGTGTGTGCACACGTGTGTGTACTGTGGGGTTGGTGGTAATGTACACTTAAAATGCAAAGTACCTGACTGATAAGAGACACTTCAACCAAACTAGCCATTAAAAAAAATCACAGGCATCTTCAAAAGCTTGAAAGTCTGCAAAGCAATTCCCAGCAGTCTGGGAGCTCATCAGACCTTGAACTAAATAAATATGTTTCAAGAATAGATATAGAGTTATTTTTCAAATGAATGTAGATGTTCTTTTGAGAACTAAAATACACATCTGAAATTATTATTGACATTAGTTTTTCCATTATGATTTTCTGTAACAGTGGGCACTAAAACTCAAATTATTATGTGGAAGTCTCCAATCATATATGATGTTGACATAAGTTCTTATACTTCAAAATATTAATAAGACACAGATATAGGTTAAACTCCTATTCTCTTTTGACAGAGCCAAATTGACTTATATTTATAGGTCCAATTTAACATTAGTTTTCTGTTTTTTGCAAAGATCTCTGTGCACTATGTAGAAACAGAGCTAGAAGAAACAATTCTAGTTTTTAAACTTATTTCACAACTAGCATAGCTATTATCTGGCAGTTCTCATCAGACCGTCAGCTCTGCATGAGGTATAAGGTAGCCTTTTTCCTCAATGATGTGTTTATTCGCTCAGTCTCCAGCTGTCTCTGTAATAAATCAGCTAGTTCAAGAACAACCGGCATGATTGCTTCAACTGTCTTCAGGAGCAATAAAAAAAACAGTAATTGAATTGATCTCCCAGTTTCCTCTTGTGAATTTCAACCTTTTTATGAGAAAAACAGGACTTAAAAGAGATGCCTGTATTTTTATATGCATGTGCACATTCATGGGCCAACCTACATCCTGGCAAAAGGATCCTCAATGGACTGTCCCATTTCTTAGACTTCCCTGGAATTTTGTTGTGGTGAACATTGCTTAAAATAAATGGACCTTCAGCCATTATTAGAAACTGTATTAAATCATTTGGTCTATGGATTTGGTTATGTTACAATTTAGTTCGAAGGAAGGAGTTAATTATAAAAGTGAAAAAGGAACCTTGAAGTTGGAATTAACTCCATCCTCATTTTGTTCTTCTAATAAATGGGCGAAGTTTATGAAGAAAACACACAAATCACTGGGTAGCTCTTCAGGTAAACACCAGGTTTTCTTATTGTTATTTTCCCACAGGCCCTGCAGAAGTTATATGATTGATTTACACGCAGCAAGGGGATCCTGAGAGCACTTGCTAGATTACAATTTGTAATACTGAATTTATAAATCTTGGACATACTCTGTTATTTGAACTTAATTTGTACAGATGCAGTAGCTTGCATGGAAAGTACTCAGCCGGAGAGTAGGCCTATTTGTTTTCTCTGGTCCCTTGAGAAATAAGGGCCACGAATTTCCATAAAGCAAATGAGTTTTGAGTTAGTACAGCAGTGAGCAGTAACAGCTCCCCACCGAGACAGAGCAATGGGTAAGCCTGGGGGCAGATGGGAACAAATTGTATCACAGCCAAGGAGAATTACAGGAAGCCCTTGTTATTTTCCTGTTTTCTGAATGGACCCCTGCAGAGGCAGGAACAGGCAGTAGGAATCAGATTTGTCACCTGCAGAGATTCAGGAGAACAAGAATCAACCCATGGATGTCTTGTGCTGGTCAGGATATCGGAGATTAAATTGTAACTGGTTCTAAGTCAAAATGATGGAGAAAAAAGAGTTGTTATTTAGTGAAAGCAGGGAGTGGGGAGGGTTGTAGCTGACCCACCACGATGTCAAGTCATGAGCACAGATACATCTCAATTGGTGGTGTGCACCTCCTAATCTAGTCTGGTATTTCTTATTCTAAGGAGCATGTATTTGTGTGATGACAAACATTTCAGGGACAAGTAAAAAGTCTTAAACACAACAACAAATAAATAAACAAACAACAGCAACAAAAACCCAAATTAAAACCCAAACAAAACCTCCCCCAATCCCCCAAACCTTTAAAGAGTAGGCAAGTAGGGAATAGGTGTTTCTGAAAACACCTAACTGGCCACTTTATTCAAATTCCCTTTATAAATGATACCTCTTCTTTTGGAAGTCTCTGATGGAATCCTTAGATGATAGTAGCCACTGCTTTCAAAGGATGATATCTTAGAACACAGCCAAGAAAAGCCACATGTACCACTATGATAGGAAAAGTATAGCATTTAATACTGCATCTCAAGGCTGTGTTGTGTGAAGGAAACTTTGGGCATATAGCGTGGCACATGACACTTTTTTATTTGGGGAAAGTAAGAAGTCTAATGTGTCACCAGCAGGACACGCATGTTTACCTCTGCTTGGAGAGCCTTTGAGGGGTCACTGAAGGGTGTACACCTGTCACTCAGCCTTCATAATGCAGAGCAGTGAACAATCGTGGAAGCCAAATCTGCCTTGCAGATGAAAAGAGGAACCAGCTGATTCTAGGCTTAGTTGTTTTGGTGTCACAGCAGCATGGGGTGGTGACAATTGCTACCACAACCAGGTACAGAATATGAAAAGCACGTCTGCAACCCAGAAACCCAGCTCCTGAGGGAACCAGGGAAAGAAAGCCTATGAGACATTTGAATTTTGCAAATATTGTGTAGTGTTGGGACACTTCTGCCCTTCTTGAAATGGGGGAAAATAATTGCTGTTCTCCTTCCCAGAACTTCTTTGTCTTTGTCCTCTTAGACAGTGAATTACAACCTTTAGGTCACACAAATGTAATCTCCTCTCCTTTCTCACTGATACTTGTTAATTCAAGCAGTTTTGGTATGCTTAAATTAATGAAGCTCGCGCATGATGTTCAGTGCATGTTAAATTTTACTCTTAGGAAAATGGTTGTCCCCTTTATTTCCTCTTTTTCTCTTCTACATCTTCCTTGGTTTCTACCACTTCTCTCATTTCCACTTGGTATTTTGTAACCCTGTGTATTCATTGAAAAATTTCTAGCCTTGGTGGGCAGTGAAAATTTAAATAAAACATTATGCATTTGAAGCAAAAGAGTGAAAATTTAAGAGACTGAAAGCAAATGGGATATGATAGCCTGTTTTCAACTTTCAGGTCCTTTCAAAAGTCAAATTGCAAAGGAAGTTGCAGGTAATATTGGAAACCACCTTTCTCTGGAAGCTTTTTGTTGCTAAAAATTCCTATTATAGTGCATGTGACAATATCAAGATGAATTTTCTCCACTGTCCCAAAGGGCTTCTGTGCTCTTTCTTTAGAACCAAAACAAATACTTATTTTTCTTTATGAGTATGCTTATGCTAAGAATGTGATACTATTAGTTGGAACTTAAGCAACAAACCTCTAAATCTAAACCTGTGTAATGAAAGAGGTTTATTGCTTGCGAGGTTTGAGTTTTATGTACACAATTGTAGGGGAGGTAGTAAACTATATTTGATTCATGAAATAGCTTTGGATGACAAAAGATCATTGAGATGTATGATAGAGGCAAAGTCAAGTACCATCAAAATTGTCACTATCCCGCTGCATGGGATATAATTAATATTACTGTTCTTTCAAAATTGAAAATGAAGATACATCATCTGAAAAACATAAATATATCTATTCTTTCCCTGAAACATTTTGGGCTACTCTGGTTAATATTGGGCAATTTTTACACTAACAAAAAACTACTATAGTTTTGTTTTGCTCCCACAGGACAGAAGTTTTCCTGAAACACAGAGGGTAAAACTGTCTAATGTAGATGCTTCTGCTCAGCTGTGGCCTTTGGTAGGTCCTGTATCTGGTCTGAGAGATTCTACGGAACCTTTGCAACTTTCAGTAGAATTGCTACTTGCTCTACAAAATGTCTGAGTGCCTTTAGAGATAATTTCTTTGTGTAAAATGTAGTGAGGAGAACTACTTTCTCTGAGTGGCAGCATGTGTTGCCAAATAATTCCAGTGATAGACTGGATAAGATGAGTAAGCTTTCATCTCTTTTCCTTCCCTTTATTGTTTCTACTTGATTCTTACCTTGCTCTTCCCAAATAAATAATGAACCTTCTGCATTGTCTCAGACCTAGTGGTATGTTCTAGGAGCATATTAATGTATTGCAATAAAGTTTTATTTTAGTTTCGAGCATATGAAGTGCTTTTCGATGCAAATGGATCAAAGACTTACTGTCTTTTGAGACTGAGACAGAAAAGAAGGGCTCACCCCATGTGTCACAGAGATCATACGGAAATAGCACCCCATTTCTGTAGGTATGGGGTGGAGTGTTCCTAGGAACTAACGTCTTGAGTTTTAACATCCCACTGCATACCTGTGGAAAATAACTTCTTCTGTAATTTTGTAAAGTTTAAGTGCAATTTCAAGTGCAGATTCTAATGAAGTTCTCAATACAAGGTAAGAAATGCAAAGTGAATTGAAAAAGCATATTCTTAAATTTGTTTAAAATGCATGATGGGAAAAACCCCTAGAAAATCGATCTTTCTCTGAGTATCTGCCTCGGGTCTAGAATAATATTTTCATATATTTGAGTCAGAACTTGCTTTAAAAATTGATACATTTAACTCTAATGATTTCTGAGCTCTTAAAATTCCTTTAAAAATATATACACTGCATTTATTCAATATTGTGTGGAAAGTACCTTGTTACAAAAGTACTTTTAGTTCACTCTCAATCTATTTTTCCTCCCCTAAAATCTCAGTGTCAATGGTCCTTATATTTGTGATTCATGTGTCAGAGGTGTTTGAACCAGAGCAACTCCATCTTGAATAGGGGCTGGGTAAAATAAGGCTGAGACCTACTGGGTTAGGTATCAGGAGTTAGGCATTCTAAGTCACAGGAAGAGATAGGAGTTTGGCACAAAGTACAGGTCACAGAGACTTTACTGATTAAAGGATGTGGTAAAGAAGCTGGCCAAACCCCACCAAAACCAAGATGGCAACAAAAGTGACCTCTGGTTGTCCTCACTGCTCATTATATACTAATTATAATGCATTAGCATGCTAAAAGACACTCCCACCAGTACCATGACAGTTTACAAATACCATGGCAATGTCAGGAAGTTACCTTATATGGTCTTAAAAAGGGAAGAATCCTCAGTTCTAGGAATTGCCCACTCTTTTCCCGGAAAACTCATTAATAAGCCACCCCTTGTTTAGCATATAATCAAGAAATAACCACAAAATAGCCAACCAGCAGCCCTTGGGGCTACACTGCCTGTGGAGTAGCCATTCCTTGCTCCTTTACTTTCCTAATAAACTTGCTTTAGAGGGAGAAGAAAAGGAAACATCACTTAGGTAGATAGCTAAGACTAGTCCTTGGAGAAGCAGCCTGCCTGAAAAATCACAGCTACAGGCAAAAATGGATCAGCCTGGGGAAAACTCAGACTTTAACTGCTGCACTGTTAGAAGGTAAGACCCAGCATAGAAGCCTTTTGTTCATTGTGCAATTAGCAGGCTCCCAGGAAAAAGTTTCCTTCTTTTTTCTGCTCCATGGGAACTTGCACAGGGAGGATAGAAGCTTACTTAAACCCACAATTATACAAACAAGAAAAGCTACGTTTTGTGCTCTCCTGGAGACATCCCGCAGCTGCATATATAGAGGCAGTTGTAGAGATAGCTTTCAGATAAGAGAAGTTACTCAAATAGCTACAGAGATGAGAGGAGTTTCTGATAAAAGCTTTGGATTCAGCTATAAAAACAGCAACTCTCTTGAGCTCCCCTCTCTGCTGCAGAGAGCTTTCTTCTTTTGCTTATTAAACTTTCACTCCAACTTCACCCTTTGTGTCCATGCTCCTTAATTTTCTTGGTTGTGAGACAACCTCGGATAACACTTTAGACAACAAGACCATTGACTCTGACCTGTTTCACTTTCACTTTACTCTATGGACTCCCCTGAATTCTTTCTTGCATGAGGTTCAAGAACCCTCTTTTGGGATTGGGATCAGATCCCTTTCCAGGTAACCGAATTGCTTAGGACACAGTAATACTGTTTGCATTAAATTGAACTTGACTCATCTGTCTACTGCTTTAAGAAATATCATGGTGGTATTACATAACAAAAGGTTGAACATTTGCCACACACTGCCCCTCACAATGCTATCCACATTTGGTTTTGCTTCTGGAGCAGTTTGTAATGTACACAATTCCTTGTACTTTTAACATTTTTGATGACAGTGGGGAACATTGACTATGGGTGAAATTGTTTGTAATTAGATGGATTAAATGGCTCTTAAATGGATGTCCCAGAGTTGAACTCTTTAATTGACTTTTGCCTTAGACCTTACTGGCAGTGGTCTTAAATGGAATCTGCATACCCTCTTCTATGACTATAGATCCTGAACCATCTCAAACTGGGGGAAATAGGGTAGTCCCAGACATTTACAAAGTTTCATGTTCTCACTCTTTTCCTGAGCCCAAGCAATAGACCTATGAGTAAAGAATTATGTTGAGAATCTAGGCAATAATCTTGATGTTTCTAAAATGGCAGTAAGGATTCCTTGAGAAACTAATTTTCTGTTGGTGGATATTTCTATGAAGAGGATAATGTTTCTTCCAGTAACAGTTTTTTGGTTCTGATTGACCTCAAGACTTGTTTGACCAAAACTTGGATGTGTGTGGCCAGTTGAGAAGCTGAGAAACTTAAGCTACCATGTCCTATTCTTAGGTTGCTTTGGCCAGAACCCTCTAGAATTTGTAATACCCTAACAGATAGTATCAGCTTCTACAATATTCATGGCATAAGCTGGAGAAATTTCTAGTGCCATCTTATCTTGGTAATTATCAGTCGATGGAGACTATGTCTATATAAAACTGATTATTATATGAGAGATGTAGTATGCATCTTATTTCCACATATTTAGATGAAATATTTAATTGAAGAATTACCAAAAATATCTTGTTTTTAGCTTTTAAACATATAAATAGACTTGACTTAAGTAAAGACTTTGAATGCTTTGGTGGCTTTGTGACAAATATGGTGAGAATCTTTTCAGAGGTATTTTCTTTGTATCCTAGTTGCATTTCATATCTATGTTTCTGAATTTCAACTTTTGCCTGGCTCCTGAGATGTAAAAGGCATGCTGTGATAATGCTGGAAACAGAATTTGTTAGCATTTTTTGGTAATACTAAATGAGCTAAGTGAGACCTTTTCAATAATAAAATTTGCAAGTGAATGGATATTAGTTTTATCAACACAGTCACATTATTGAAGAAAATAAATGTTCCCTTACCTCCTCATAACTGTCTTAGAATAGTTTATTTTAAAACTGCAACTATCTATTTCAATGTTGAGAAGTGTTTCAAATGGCCAGATTAGGAGTCCTCCTTCTGACAGCCCTGTTGGGGTTGTTTATGACAGAAGGCTCCCCTTGAGGGTCTTCCTGCCTTCTCAAGGAGGTTTCTCTCAGGGTTTTGTGCCAAAGGTGAGCAGAGGTTGTTCCCAGTGAATTTTCCAAGTTTCCCTTGTTGTTTTGGTATCGATAGTTTTCATTTGTAATTTTCATTGCAAATGGAAAGCATTTGCTGCCTGGTAGGCGAAGGTTTTTGTATATATTGTGTCACTTAATCTTTAGCACAATTCAGTAAGGTTGCTATTATCCATGGTTTCAAGGGAAGACTGACACTAGGAGAGTTTAAATATGTTGCTCAAAACCACAAAGCCAAAAAATTTCAAAGTTTGTTCAGATGTGGGTCTGCATGACCCTGAAACTCAAATTTTAGCTTCTTCACTATACTCTATTATTCAACATCATTAAATTGTTAAGGTAGGTCTGGAATATTACAGCTAGAGGCTTAAAACAAAAGTATGATCAAATCCCCTTCTGAGGACAGATACCCTTTTCCCATGAGGCCATTAATAGCCGAGTCCTAGGGATTCACCATTGCCCCAGTTGAGTCTCTTTCCTCTTCTTTCCTTTCTAATGATTAGCAAGTAAAGAGGGATGCAGGAGCAAAGTAACAGTGGAGACTGAAGGAGAAAAGATCACTAACTACTTGGGACACAATAAACTAGAATTTCCATAGCAAGTGATCAGGTGAAGAAGCAAAATTTCTGCCCCATATCTACAGTCTGCATTTCTGGGATAGCAACCCAGGAAGAACTCTCATCCTTAGGCAAGGGAGAAATTAGAAGGAAGAAAAAAGCAGAATATTCCATTTTCTTTGTCTTCAGATTTTATCAGAAACCTTAGCCCATCTAGCTGAGTCAGGGTGTTATGTTGCTACTTACCTTGGAATTGCCAGGAGGTTCTAACAAATTTTCCTTAAAAAATGGTTTTGAAGAAAAATGTTGACATGCACTTATTTATTGTTTACTTTAGAATGTCCTTTAAAAAATAACCCCCTTTATTGTGTATTCTGTGTCGAGTCTCAAAAATGACATGGAAGAAACTTGTTCAAACACATGACATTTGTGGGAAAAGATAGATCAGGGCCTACTTAAAGGTGAAGTTGCTCTCAACAATGTGCCAGGTAATTCATACTAGGAGCTGCTGTTAGACAGAAACAATGATTGTTGAAAAACAGCCTGATGAGAAGAAGCAATACTATGTCATCCCTTAAGAGAAACCATCATAGCCCATGAAAAGCATGAATTTTCCTCCTCAGTTATTTACCTACATATATTTCATTGTGTTCTCTTTGAATTATCCATTTTACTTATGGAAGCTCTAGTAGTGTATACATGTAAATATATACACACTAATATACTTATTTAACATTCTAAATCTTTCTAAGGTCCTAGTTTTAGTTACTTTGGCCAGAAAATATAAAAAGTTAAACATAATACATGTCTGTTATGGAACATAATATTTGAGAACTAGAAATTATTACAAACAAACATGAGACTTCATCAGAAGGAAACACTAAAACTCTTATTTTGTTTTTTTCTCATCTACTGGACACATGGGTTGAGTCCACATAACTTGAGCCAATAGATCTGAGGGTAAATCCAGTTATTCTGATCCACGACAGATGTTTTCCAGAAACATTGTTTTCGGATGTCTGGCACATATTTGCGCCTTGTCAGATCGATGAAGAAATGCAAATTTTACAATGGAGTCTTCTGGCAGATTGTAGACTGAGAAATACTCAGAAGTCAGCAGCCTAGTATTTTTACTGGTGTCTTCATAGATAACTACATGGTATTTGATTCACTTAATCAATGCTGACAAAAGTTCAAAGGGGAGAGCTTCTCGGCATAAGACATCTGACTTGGCTGTCTACCTAGATCAAGTAAAATGGGTGATTGCCAAATCTCTACTGTATTTTACAACAAAGAAAACCAGTCAAAGAGAATTGTCCTAGAGAAACTATTTAGAAGATTGACACTTTACAAAGGAAATCTTGACATTAAGCAGAGACCAAAAAGACCAAAATATTGGTGATAACATTATATAAACACAATCTTCAGGAAAATATTTTTGGGCCATTGTTAATATTTCACGTCCAAGTAACTACACAGGATTGAAAAGTAGATGACACACTTTTCTATATGGTCATTTCAGTCTTTCTGTCTTGAGATTACATTTATTGGATCTATTTTTTTTTAAAAAAATAGCTTAAACTGTTCTGGCAATCAACAAAAACATCTGTCATTTTATCACGCTGATTCAAAAGGCATAAGAATTCTAAACTGAGTTTAAAAAAGAAAATAATATGTGGGGAGCATGCAGCATGGTGAAACCAGTGAGAAATAAAGAGCGCATTTTAATGTTTGACTTCCTGCATGGGTGAAGTGATGAGCTCATTGGCTATTACCTTTTGTGAACACTTAAATAGGAGCAAGAAAACTGCACATTTAAAACCAGGAAACAAACCACTGAAGGCCTGAGAATGGAAAATCCCCCATGACGACTCTTTGGAAGTATTTGCAGTGCATGAGATTCAACTCTTCTACAGCCTGACATATTACTGTGTTTCAGATTACGTTTCATGCTAATTTCTTCCCTTGCAGTTATGGAGCTAGATGAGAGAGAGATGCTATTTTTTTAAACAATACAAAAACAAGAAACAGAGGTGAAAATGATGTCTTAGCCACATGCTAAGTTTAAGGTGAACATTAAAGGTCAAAAATAGCATAATGCATTCATTCCCTTGCAAAGCACTGGCAGGACTTGGACCTTCCATACAAGGTGCTTTGATCAGAGGTAGCATTTACTTTGTGTGTTACTATGGTGAACTTAACAAAAGGTGATTTTTCTTTAATGAGGTCATAAATAATTGCTTGAAAACAATATATTACAGACAGAAGGGTCACCTTTTATGATGACTTCAATTCACATGCCATGGTGGGTTTTGGTTCCATTGGGTGTCTTGAACAAACTGGACTTGTCAGTGTGGTATATTCCTTTCCTTCCAAATGCTCCACTTACTTTGTCTGTCCCTCTAATGTGCAGAGTGGAGTGGCCAGAGAGGAGAGAGGTTGGATGACCTAAAAGCACACACATTCCTAGAGAATTAGAGCCTCCTGTGCATTCTTGAAGCAACCTGCTTCCACATACATGGTGGCTTCTAAGCTTGGTGAAGGTCGGAATGGCATGAGACCCTGTTAGGGCAATGGAGAATTTTCTGCTTCCAGATTTTCTAGCTGAAAGGTGAGAAGGAGCAAAGACAGTGAACATTTCAGATGTGGTTGCAGCACACGCTAGTTGGGCATCTTCTGCCCATAAGAACTGTATTGAAGACCTTTATGTATACTTTCACCTGCAATCCTGAGTTTTTCTTAAATGTCAAGACATTAATCAATCTCTTCAGATACTATGAATAGTCTTCTGGCTCATTATGAAAATGCTCTTGAATTTGTGTACACTGCTGAGAAGAACTGTATACTAGTCATCATAGAGATATTATTGATAATTTCCTTAGAAAATACATTTTAATCCAAACTCTTTCTCCCCCCTTTTCACCTTTTCCCTTTCTTTAGCCTAAAATCATTTATGACTTGACCAAGATTTTAAAAGAAAAGCAATGCTTTTTTCAGTACTTCTAAGCTTATTTCTAGATAAAGAGTTTTTTATTTTTTCCCAATTCTCAAAATTAATGACTTTTTTTCCTGTAACTGATTTGAAGTACACCCCACCTGACTCCCACTATAAAACTGGTATATAGGTTGAACAATAATAATATTTGCCCAGAGACATGGAAATGTGGTCTGCTATTTTCAGGTAAGGAAAGAGGACTGTGGAATTAGAACAAGTTTTATAATTAACAAATAATTGTTGCTATCACTCATTATCATATTGCTGAGGAGAAAGAAAGGAGCTGTTTGTATAGTAAGTGTAAAGGGATAAAAGATCATTAAAAAAATTTTATTTTGGTAAATTTTCTTTATCCATGTGCTTTACCATTTGCTTTCTCTCTCTCTCTCTCTGTCTCTCTCTCTCTCACACACACAAACACACACACACACACACACACACACACACACACACACAACCCTTTTTAAACCATTTGATGCTTTACCCTTAAATATTTCAGTACATGTTGTCTAAGAATAAAGAATAGATCAGATCATTCTCCCTTTAGGGACAGGAAGTCCATCATGGGCTAAGAGTGTCCCTGCACGTCCTTGCTGACCCTGACAAATTGCAAGGCCTAACTGTCCTCCGACTCTGATCATTTCTGCAGCTGAACACACAGGCAACTAAGGTAGGCACAGACAACTACAGCACTGACCACAATGTGGTTGCTTGCTCCTAGAGGAGGCTTGTTTATTGCTTTCCCTGGTGCTGAGACTTCAGCTCTGAGTTCCTCAACTGTGATACAACCTACCGTGTGTGTACTGCCATCTGGTCCAGTCATATTGCCTTGTAGGATTTGGGAGTAGGGAAACTGGCACTATCATGCTAAAGCTTCTGCTATTTGCTGTGCTGTGAGTAGTCAATCGCCTGAGTCTTTTGTCTACTTATGGCAACTATAGAGTTGTGGCAAAGCAATCTACTTGCTTGCTTAATCATCTCCTTTGGAATCCTGTTACTTCTTGCCACCTATCTTCTAAGAGGCTGAGAGTCTTCCTAAAATGGCACAAAGTGCAGGGTGCCAAGACAGACAAGAACTTTTTGGAGGAATAAAATGGCAAGAACTCATAAGCTGGGTTCAGGGACATTTGTGATCTCCCCGGGTCTGGTAGCAAATATTCTGGCCCAAATGGTGCAGAAGGTGGGCAGCGAGTGGTCCACCTCTCTCCTACCTGCTGATGAACAAGAGTTGAGTCAACAGATGGAGGCTGAGAAGTGAGGGATAAAATCTAACAAACTGCCATGGTTTTCTGTTTGCTCTCCGATGGGCTAGGAGACTGAGAGAACACTCTGGGCTCTTAGGTGGGGAAGCACAACTGTGTCAGGTTTTAAGTTACAATTGTATGCATCTGAAGGGTAACATATTCCCAGAGAGAGTACCAAGACGTAGATCCATGGGGACAGGGAAAGGAAAGAAGTCCAGGGATGCTTTGATCAGCTGACAGAGGGGCTGTTCCACACTTGGCTGCATTGGTGCAACGAAGGAGTAAGAAAGGTTACGCCTTAGAGCATGCGCACCAAGGCTGTCTCACGTGGGAACCTATGCTTTAAACCACTTTTCAAATTACATCATTGAGATAGAATCATGTCCCATAATAAGGTTTGCTACTCTGAATTTCTGTTTTAGTGATTATATTATGGCCAGTCCAAGAAGATTTTCTTTTCTTTTCTGTTTTTTTGAGGCAGAGCCAAATTCTGTCACCCAAGCTGGAGTGCAGTGGCACAATCTTGGCTGACTGGAACCTCCAGCTCCCAGATTCAAGCAATTCTTAATGCTTCAGCCTCCCGAGTAGCTGGAATTATAGGCATGTGCCACCACACCCATCTAAGTTTTGTATTTTCAGTAGAGACAGGGTTTCCCACATTGACCAGTCTGGTTTCAAGCTCTTGACCTCAAGTGATCCTCCCGCCTCAGCCTCCCAAAGCGCTGGGATTACAAACAGGAACCACCACGCTGCCTGTGTCTGTTTTTGATATCCATGCTCAAATGACTAAGTACCAGGTTCTCTTAAGGTCCTTCTCTTGTAAGGAGCACACAGTTAATTAACCAGATTTGAAACAGAAAAAAAAGGGAAAGGAAGTAACTGTAGCCACTGGGCAAGGCTATTTAGAGCTCTGTTACCTACTACTTTGGCTGCTCCCAGGGCTGAATGTGTAATTGGTATTGATCATTTACATTCTTGTTCTGTAAATGCTCATGATGTCCAGGAGAGATTTTCTTGATTGGAAAAGCCATTTGTAGAGAGGGATAGAGGATTGCATGCACAACTGATCACAGATTGGCTTTGATTCTCTTTTAAGTTTTTTTAAAAAAACAATTTAGAATTCCAGAAGGAGAAAAGGAAACCACAGCCTTGATCAAGGACTTAAATACAATGGGACTCATGAAAAATGTAATATTTCAATGTAACAGCTTTGTGTGGCCAGTGGAAAAAAGCTAAAGGGAACCTGGAGGCTTGTGGTAGACCGCTGCCAACTGAATATACTTGGTGTTATAGTTCTGGCTGTTACAGACTTTGTGACTGTAAATGAATCAATTCCCTGTGATAGCACCTGGTGTACCATTCTGGACTTTGGTCATGTATTTTTCTCAATCCCCTTTGCACCCAAATATTAAGACCCCTTCTCTGGCTGACTCTCCAAAACATGTTTCCTGGGCTGTTGCAGTACTACTTGAATTTCCCTGCTATTTATTGCCAGCAGGTGGATCAAAACACAGGACAAGCCTCTCTCTCTCTCTTTTATTTTTACAGAGAAATTAGCCTTACTATATTGATGATACTCTATTGATAGGCTTCAATAATATTAGCAGATGCTAAATTACATGAAGGCCTAGAAAGACTTAATTCTGATAAGATACAGAACCCGCCACCCAAGTCAAAATTTTCAAAGTGATATGTACTAAGACTCAAAAGTTGATCCTAGACAGTAAAGAAAACATTCTTTGCTCTATGGCTCTCCTAAGAGAAAGGAAGCCTGGCACTTAATTGGACTATTTAAGTTTTAGAGACAAGATGTGCCTTATCTATGCATGCCTCCTGTTGAGTCCTATGTACACCCTGATCAAAATGCCTGCCATGTATGGCTGGGGACCTAAGCTGCAGGTGGCACTTGGGTCAATGTAGCAGGATGTTGCAGCAGACCACCCAGGGGGCCCTTTTCAACTCCAGGCTTCTGGAAAGGGAAACAGTCTCCACCTGGAAGTAGACCCTTGGCATTATGGACTCACTGCCTCCCTGGCAACCCTACCCACTGGGGAAAGAACACCTTACACCCCGGAGATGCTTAGAGGAGGGAATAATCCATGCTCTTTTTGTCTCTGAATCCCAGCCCCTCAGTTGGCAAAATAATCAGAGATAAGTAACAGCTCTGATTGCCAGCTGGTACCACTGCTAGATTTATCGGCTGGATTTATCATCCTCATCTATGTGCTGTGGCATCAGAAAATCTTCTGATGGTGTTCTCTGAATTTGTATGGAGTTTGTATGGAATTTGTATGAATTTGCAGGAGGTGAGTCCCAACTGTTCCTGTTGTGTTTGGATTAATACCCAGGGTTCAGTGGAGCAATCCATGCAGATGATTGTATGCATATGCATATGGTGGAGCAATCTATGCATACCATAAGAAAGGAAGCTAGGTGCTCATCTGAAATTCGACCTGTTAGTCTTCTCTGTGACTTATTCAGTTGGGTCTGGATCTTGGAGCACATGGTTGAGGTCAATACTGCAGACTGACCTCATCCTATGGATAGGATTCTGTCGACAATAGCCCTAATCCAGTATTGATTGAAATAAGGGGAAACAGATTTGGTCATAGTCCTTGTCAGTATGTCTAATTCAAGTTGCTGATGGGGTGATGTAATCATATAAAAATTTAAGTACAGCCAAGGACATGCTAGGCTGAACATGAATTATCAGGAGAGGCAGTCCACTGAACAACCCTGCTCATTCTTGCTGACTGAGATGAACTGCAAGATCTAATTATCTTCTCGCCCTGAGTTGTTTCTACAGCTAGTCAATTAACAACCTTCACTGCCTGACCACATGAGGACCACAGCGTGACCACTTTGAGACCCTGACTCCTGGAGAAGGAGGACTGGTTTGTTTACTGCTTGCTACAAAAGACACTGAACCTTTGTCTCTGGGCTCCTCAGCTGCTTTGTAACTCACTGTATGTGTAGCAGCAATTTGGGTTCATTGTGTCACATTATGAGAAGTAAAGGCAAAGGAGCTGGCATTATGATGCTGATACTCCTGCTGTTTGCTGTGTTATAATAAGTGGCTTTTCTCTGGCTCACTGAGTCACATTGTCTATTTCTAGCACCCATATAATTGTAACAAGCCAACCTGCTTGCTTGCTAAGACATCCTTTGCAGTTTTACAACTTCCTACCGCTTTCTAAAGCTGAGTTTCTTTTCTGATGATAACCACAGTACAGCTAGTAGATTTGACATTTGACATGAGATATGATACTTAGATATATATGTTAGATAAATAGATATAACACAATTCTCTGCTATCAGTTTTCTATTATTGTCAACAGTTTTTTAAACTATAGTTTTTCCGAGAA